CAGCAGCAGCTGCAGCTGCAGCTGCAGGAGGGTCGACAGCAGCAGCAGCAACAGCAGCAACAGCAGCAGCAGCAGCAGCAGCAGGAATGGAAAGAGTTGCTTCATTTGAAGCGTCTTCAATCTCCCCCTCGAGCGGCCGAGATGTCCCAACCACCACCAGCAGCAGCAGTAGCAGCAGCAGCGGCTGCAGCAGCAGCAGCAGCAGCAGCAGCAGCAGCAGGAGGGAGCTACCTTGGCGTGTATCACATCCTGAGTTTATAAAGCAGCTGCTGCTGCTGCTGTCAGCAGAAAGTGCTGCTTCTACTGCAGTTCAGGTGTACGTGTTAGCGCTGCTGCTGCTGCTGCTGCAGCAGCAACCGGCAGCAACAGCAGCAGCATTCACAACGCTGCAGCAAAGTAGAGAGGGACCTTTAAATGCGTTTGCTGCTGTTTTTCATGTAGTGGAGAAAACTGCTGCTGCTCTTCTCGCCCTCTGCAGCAGAGACTGCAGCAGAATCGAAGCACAGCAGCAGCAGCAGCAGCAGCAGCAGCAGCAAGGCCCAGCTGTTGACGCAGCAGCAGCAGCAGCAGCAGCACATTCCCCAGCTGCAGCATCGCCTGCACTAGTTCCTGCTGCTGCAGCTGGAGCAGCAGCCACTGCAGCAGCTACTGCTGCTGCGGGGTCGAGGGTCTCTGCTGCCTCTGCTGCAGCAGCTGCTGCTACCGAAGCTGCGGCAGCAGCAGGTTCTGCTGGCGTTGCTTGCAACAGTGAGGAAGCAGCAACAGCAGCAGCAGCAGCAGGGGCTGAATGCCGATTGTTTCAATTGCCGGTTGTTTCTTCGTTGCTGCTGCTGCTCGATGCTAGCAGCAGCTTTTTGTCTCATGTTGCTGCTGCTGCACCGCAGCAGTTGCTGCTGTTCCTGCTGCAGTCTGAAGGCAGCAGCAGACTTTTGCTGCTGCTGAAGCAAACAACGCAGCAAACAGAAGCCGCACAACAAGCCTGCAACAAACGTATGCAGCAGCAGCAGCAGCTAAAGCAGCAGCAGCAGCAGCAGCTGTGGGGCTGGGAGGGCAGCAGCAGCAGGGATTGTCTGTCTACAGATAATTCGGATCTCAGTTGCTGCAGCAGCGACGAGGAAGAAGCACCTGCACCAGCAGCAGCTGCCGCTGCAGCAGCAGCAGCTGCTGCTGCTGCAGCAGAAGGAGC